TCTTCCGGGTCACCTGTACTAATGGGTGTACCTCAGGGCTCGATTCTCGGCCCATTCCTGTTTCTGGTGTATATTAATGACTTACCTCACCTTGTAGGGGATAGTCATGATATAGTATTATTTGCTGATGATACTTCCTTGATTTTTAAACTTAAACGTCAATCATTTAAATGTGACGAAGTGAATAATGCTATATCAAAATTAGTGCATTGGTTTAACGTTAATAATCTGCATTTGAACGGAAATAAAACTAATTGTGTTAAATTTACAACAACGAATGTTCAAAATCTGAATACCAATGTGTTTTTAAATGGGGAGGAATTGAGCCCTGTTGTATCCACTGTTTTTCTTGGCATCACTCTTGACGCAAAGCTCCAGTGGGGCCCCCATATATCCAAATTAGCAAGCAGACTAAGTTCTGCAGCCTATGCTGTAAAAAAGATTAGAGTTCTCACTAGTGTCGAGACAGCTAGATTAGTTTATTTTAGTTATTTTCATAGCATAATGTCTTATGGGATTTTGCTATGGGGAAATGCGGCTGATTCAGAAACTATTTTTGTTTTACAGAAGAGGGCCATTAGAGCTATTTACAATCTAAAACCGAGAGAGTCTCTTAGAGATAAATTTAAAGAAATTAATATATTAACTTTGGCCTCTCAGTATATTTACGAAAATTTAATGTATGTTCACAAAAACAAAGATAGTTTTAGTAAAAGAAGTGATATACATTCTGTAAACACTAGGAACAAACACAAGCTAGTGATACCAGTTTCTCGACTCCACAGAGTCAGTAATTCATTCTTGGGGCAATGTATACGCTATTACAACAAGGTCCCGGAAAGTGTACAGGTTCTCTCTATTACCAAGTTTAAATGTTTTATTAAGCTGAAACTGTATAAAAAGGCTTATTATAGTATAAATGAATACATGGTTGATAATAACCCTTGGGAATGAGGTGATCGCTTCCAAGCAGTTTCTAAAATAAATTTTGTAAATAGTTCGTAATAATTTATATTGTAAAATTTATTTAAAAAAAAAAGTCCCGCTGGGTTTCTTGCTGGTTCTTCCCAGGACAGAGGGTTTTTTCGAACCAGTGGTAAAGTAAAAAATGACTTTCAATAAGAATTACACATGTAATGTATATTGAATAAAAAATATTCTATTCTATTCTATTCTATTCTAATACGGTACATTGGCCGCTCTCCCAGCTGAAAACCTTGCCCGTCGATAGATACTCAAATATCCTTTTCCTTCCACCGACAAATATGTTATTTATTTTTAAATCTATGTGGACAAATTCCCGACAGAAAGCTAGTAATACTATAATTACAGTACGAATTCTAACATTATGTCCGAAACTTCTCACGGTGAGTAACGAGCTCTGTCCCCAAGCTTGGATACTTGATAAAATCTGAATAATTTTGTAACAGTAAAGTATATTGTTTTGGAAGAAAAAATAAACTACCCTTTTGCTTTTCTAACAGTTTTTAAATACAACATAAACATACATCAAATTTAAAAAAGACTTTTTTTTTAAAAAACTTTAGAACATTAGAACCCGAATGATAGATGCTATTAAGTTTTAGTAATTTCGAATTGAACTACCTAATATTATATTGTGAAATTATTTCTAGTAATGGTGACCACTCCGACGCATAGATAATTTATTACAAATTTAAGTTGAAATAAGAATTGACTAAGTTTTCATTACTTGAAGTATTCATAGAATGCTAAGTAATTGAAGCCGCAATCCTCCTTGAACAGGATAGCTCTGATATTTGCTCTTAAATATTCAATTGGTCGAAAGTGTTAAGAAATTACGTCAAATAGACAGGTATCCCTTTATTTCTATTTTTCTCAGATATATATTTAGTAGTAGCCTCCCACAGTTGGTGATATTAACACGTCAAGCCTCGAATTGGAGGCAAGTAATCTAGTCCAGTTTAACCCCCGAAAGTCACAGGTTTTGCGCGTTTATTATTAAAAAGAACCTCTTTGTCGTATCTCCTCAATTTTAGCGCACTCCCCTTGTTGTCTCAGCCAGCATCATAATCGAATGACCTTCATTTCCACGGTCACCTGGAAGGGAAGGCCAAATTGGCCACAAAAAACTTGCCGTGCTTAGAACCATGCTTTGTAGAAAAGTACTTGTGTAAGGCTTGTGTTTAGCAGTAGACTTGTCAAGGGCTGTTACCAAGATGATGATGATGATTGTGTTTTAGATATGAATGAAAATTATTTATTTTTAATTTTTCTTTATTCCTCTATAACCGATTTAAATGATTATTTATTTATTCATTTTAATTAAGTAGAAAATAGATATTAGGTGGTCTATTGAAACTTAAGGAAAAAATTCTACTCTAGGGTGGTAAAATAGGGCATGAAGATTTTAATGTATCTATTTAGACGTGAATCCAGTTGTTATTTTGAATTTTTGATGTTCCTAAGTTCACTGAAATAGGTAAAGAAATAAACTTACAATAAACAGCAAAAACTGACTTGAAAACCTAAAAAGAATAAAATATTTTCCACTAATTACATTAAATCTTAGCACGTTTTGGTTTTTTTAAGTCAGTTTTTACTTTTTAGTTTTTACTCTAGTTTTATATTTTATATTTATATTAGTTTAAATGATTTTTTTTTCTGATAGGCCTTATTATTTGTATTCGGTTACACATTATAACAAATGTTAATGTTACAGTGACAAGACATATATTTAAAAAAAATATGTAAGTATATATTAGTTATACATATACTGTATATGCTAACTTACAAAGTTCATAAAAATATTTCTGTATTCAAACAACAGATCTAACTAAATACCCAACAAAGTAAAAATGGACTCAGCTTACGATATTTAAATGGGCACATTAACGCGATGAACCCTCGTAGAGCGAGTGGTATTCAAATTTGTAGGGGTAAGCCCTTCGTTAAAGTGTCTATAGATTGCAAAGATGGTCGAAACAATTCCATTTTAGCTGTCAATTACATTAGAAAACTCAGTTGGTCGGAGCAAGCGCATTTACATACGAACGTGGGTGCACTCGGTCTGATTACTTCCAACGGATGGAGTGACGAGGTGAAATTGAGGAGATGCTGATGCGCCCCCAGCGACCAATGCCTCGATTCAATGCCCGTAACATTTCTCTACGTGAAATGTACGCGAACAAAATACAATCCACATTTCTAAAAATATCTAAGTTAGAAGTTTTAAAGATTTACAATATTTTTGAAATTTATTTATATTGTAGGTTTCGGAAGTCCTTATCTCTGTGTAATTGTAATTGGAATGTTGAAGCAGTCTAGATCTAGACTTAATATACTAGCTTATATGTACTGTATATGACTGTATATGACTTAATATCTAGACGTAATATATAAAATGTATAATAATATTTAGTTCCGTACAAAGATAATTGTTGTATGCAAAAATATTTGCTGTAAGGCTTCGAACACAACTACTACTTTTATCTGATATGGCTGAATCCAAAATTAAATGTGTATTTAATAAGAAATTTGAAAATACTAGCGAACTGCCCCATCTTCACGCGTCGGATCTCAGCAACAGCGCCATCTGCCGGATAAAATTGTGAATCTAAACCATCCACTCGAGCGAGACTGACGGATAACAATTGATCTTTATATATAGAGATTAGATTGTCGCGTAGCGTGTGGTTGCGGCGTAAAATAATATATACATCACTCCATTCGTCCTGTGGGTGTTATAAGAGACGACTATGGGAAAAAACTATAACAGCCTCATAACTTTTGATGAGCTCGATCTCGTATTTGCCACATAGGCATCGTATAGGTGCTACAAAAGATGCTTCCTCCCTTGAAAGAGGTCCATATTCAGCGTGAGTCATAGAAATGGCAAAGAAAAATGTAATTTAAATAAACTGAGTGCATTGTGGCATTCCTTGGGGGAGACCTATATTGTTTTTATATAGAAAAGGTAGCACACGAGCATGCGACTCACTCTGTAACTACTATCGCCAATAAACAACTGCAACACTGAGGGAGTTGCAGGTGCGTTGTCGGTCTTTTGAAAAGAGTAGGCTCTTTTCTTGAAGGTCTCTAAGTCGTACCGGTCCGGAAAAACCGCTGGTGAAAGCCGACTCCACAAAGAAGTGGTGAGGAAGAAAACTAGGAAATCGCACACTGGTAAATTGCTAATCTTTCAGATGGTATGTTCATTAGAGGCCCAGATAATAGAACAAAATTTATGACTGAGGCCGGTGGACTTATGATGGGCTGTAATGATGATAATGATGTAACACAATACTAGAAGCACGTGCGATATAACACTTACTTATCTTCACGCACAATCCCTGACGGGGTAGCCAGAGAGAACAGATCGCCAAGCGTCACGATCCTTACATATCTCTTTCGCTTCTTTCAGATTCATTATCTTCTTCATACATGCACGTCTAGGTATCCGAGTACTCTTGACCCTACCCTCTTCGAGCAATTTGCTCACATGGTCTTCGAAAGTTAGTCTCGGTCTACCTCGACACCTTTTAATATTAACTTTCGCGCTATATATTTTCTTCACCATTCGGTCTTCACTCATTCGCTCAACGTGCCCAAACCACCGAAGCACGCCCTTATCAATTTTTGTGATAAGGTCATCTTTCAAACCTGCCATATTGCGAATCTCTTCGTTTCGCTTTCGGTCGGCCATAGTAACGCCGCACATTTTACGAAGAGATCGCATCTCCACTGCATTCAACTTACTTTTATGCTTCTTCTGGCATACCCAGGTTTCGCTGCCATATAACAAAGTCGGTACCAACACTGCGTTATGTATTGCAAGGCGTGCACTCTTCGCTACGCCTTGCCTTTTGACTAACGCAGTCAGGGCACCATTGACTTTGTTCCCGGCAGCGACACGCCTGTCCACATCTAAATCACATCTTCCATCCCGGCTAAAAGCACTCCCCAAGTATACAATTTCATTTACCTGTTCTAGACATTCCTGATTTACCCATATTTCACACTTCGTTCTCTCTTCATCCCTTTCAAATACCAGAACCTTAGTTTTATTAGCATTCAAACGGAGACCTTTAATTTCACATTCCTCTTTCATACACGTGACTAATGCCTGCAGTTCTGCCTCTGATGGTGCAATAAGCACTGCATCATCAGCATACAGCAGACAATTTACTTTTATGTCACCCAATTTCACACCCAAACAGCTATCTTTCAGCTTTTGTAAACAGCTGTCGAGATACAGTATGAACAGCCAGGAAGACATGACACAACCCTGTTTTACGCCCGTTTGGACGCTAAACATATAACACTTCTTTTTAAATATTACTTTTGACTGATATAAAAATAGTGCAAGGAAGGAATTTTGAATGAAATATTACAAAAATCGATAATTTTTAACTTATTAGTAAAATATACAATATTAAAAAAAAACATAATAATAAAAAAATAAAAATTAACATACATTCCTACACCTCGTGGTATCGTGGCAAGAACGCTGGCTGCGTTTCCCTGCAGAATGGCTATCTTAGCCTTTGAGCGAGAAAAGAACTAGCCCTCTTATCACCAGCAGCGACGACCTGTCGCGGATACAGTTCCTTTAGGAACTTCACCGCACGTGGACTCCTGACCGATAGTCTCTACAACAAATGGCACAATTATGTAGTCATCTCTCAGAGACTCATATTTGCCAATTACTAAAATTATTATTTAACATTTGTGTTTCTATAACCCCTTTTCTTCTCTTTTTTGAATTCGGATTTTAAATTTCGGAAAACAAAACCTAACGCTCTCATCATTTGCATCGCTATGTTCATCGCCTAAAACATAGATGAACATTTTCAATTTCTCTAGCGTAATAAGAATTTCCATTACCATCACAGTGTTTATAAACCGAAGAAAGAAAACTGCAAACTTATTACATGGCAGTTAATTCCTTTCGTTCGCGCAGCAAAATAATAGCTATGTCAAAAGCAGTGCCCGACTGACGCGAATACTTTCCGACCGCTTGGCTTTATTTTATTGCGCATGTTTTAATATTAATTGTAAGTTTTCTGCTCCGGTGAGCAGTCGACGACATAATGCAAATGTGTACGCCTGTCAAAACGTTTACAGCGACTAGCGAAATTTCATGGCAGTTTATTGCACGCGCGATTAAGTTTTCGTTATAAATAATAATGAACCCGTACAAAGTGTGTACCGGTTGAGTGATTGTTTAACTAAACTCTGAAGAAACCACAAACAGTCGCCCAACTTTTCTAAACAGCGCAGCGCTTTAAAGTGTATTTTTGTAGTACATTTTAAATATATAACATTTACCTCAATCCAATACCTGGAACGGATCACGAGGAACATCCACGTGACTCTTTGGTTCACGTCAGTAACACATGTAGGACGTTCGTACGTAAAGGAGGTTGACAGAGCAAATAATATAACAACCATATAAAGGATTTTATTAAATTATAATGATGATATACATATTGAAATGGTGTAACTTCGCTTACGCCTTAGGACGGCCGGTTAGGATGGAGTAACGATCTGTAAGAGATGCAGGAAGCCGATAAATAGTGGTGGCTCAGGCCCTAGCATTCTTTGGGAGAAATCTATGTTCAGCAGTAGACTGTGATGGGCTGTATTAATGATGATGAAGATGATGATACAGTTGTGATGGTAGAATATATAGTGCATTAAATAACTAGTCTAGCAATAAGTTTTCTAAAAGTACCTTTTAGTTTTTTTTTTATTGAATGAGTTTATTATGTAAGAAACTTCGATCGATTTTCTGCTATTTATTAGATATTATTATTTTTCACAGCGATTGTTAAATAACATTATACTCTCTCCTTGTCCGAGACGTTCGTTACAATTTGTACTACGTCGTATTTTATATCAGTACATCACAGTTATTCAAGCTCCTAAAAATTTTTGGAATGGCAGAACGTACTCGTATGCACAACACTATATCCACCCGTCCGTCAAATGTAATGTCATTACGTTTTGTTTATGCCAGCCGTCACGGTGAGTTTTTATAAATTTTGTTATAATAATTTAAAATTCAAAAATTTGTACAGCCGACTTCAATATAAGTTATTAAGAATATCTCAAAAACTATTGGTCTGACCTTGATCAAATTCATATGGGACCGCACGAGAAGTACCAGCTTTCAAATAAAAAAAGAATACCATACCGTCGTAGTACCGTCTCCTTTTTGGAAGTCGGCAGAAAATCAAATATGTTTAGTGTAATATTAAATGTTTTGTATCCAAAACCTACCACAACTGTATTTATTACATACCTGCGTGGTAATATTGAGTTATACTTTGGAAAAGAAGATATTCAAATTTAAATTAAACAGATTAAAGTAAACAAGAATCATCTTGTTTTGGAGGTACGTGTAAAAATCTAAAAAAATCACTTATTAATAAAATCAGATTCACTGTGTATCGAAACATTAAATAACAGGTATGATTAAATTATCAATGCAAATCCACTATAAAGCTTTAATAACATAGCCTCGTCACTCGTATAATATGAAATAATGAATAGGTATTTCCAACGAATAAATGTTAAACCAATAGATATATATAGATATACCTACGTTGAAAAATTGAAGTGATATATTTAATTTATTATTTTATTTAATTTATTTTTATCTTCTCGTCAGACATACCTCAAAACCTGAAAACGAAATTGTACAACCAGTGCGTGTTGCCAGTGATGACTTACGGAACTGAGACGTGGTCCTTCACTGCTGGCCGTATGAGGAAGCTCAAGGTCGCTCAGCGAGCTATGGAGAGGGCTATGCTCGGAGTTTCTCTGCGTGATAAACTTAGGAATGAGGATATCCGCAGTAGAACTAGAGTAACCGACATAGCCCAACGGATTAGTAAGCTGAAGTGGCAGTGGGCCGGCCATATAGCTCGAAGAACCGACAACCGATGGGGAAGAAAGGTTCTCGAGTGGCAGCCTCGTACCGGTAGGCGAAGTGTAGGGCGTCCCCCCACGAGATGGAGTGACGACCTGGTAAGACATGCAGGAAGTCGATGGATGCAGGTGGCTCAGGACCGTGCTTTGTGGCATTCTTTGGGGGAGGCCTATGTTCAGCAGTGGACTTGTGAAGGGCTGTAATGATGATGATGATGATATTTAATGGTTTTTTTTTACTTTCGTCTTTTGAGCATTTAATTGGGCAGTCGCCATTTATCATAGTTATTGGGCAAAATTGTTCCCACCTTAGACATAAAGGTGATTTTGGACAGTATTGGGAAAATAGGAAAAGGAAAATACTCTGGCTGATACATTATCACCATCTTGTTAGACAAGATATTATGCAATACTGAGATACAAAAACAATCACTATGGTTTTAAAACTGCTGGGGAAAATATCTCAAATGAGTCATATGGATATGCTACAAACAGATCATTAGAACTATTACTTCGAATATATATGGATTCATGTATATAAAATAAAATAAGAAAGAAAAATACTCCGGCTGAAATGCTATCAACATCTTGGGACAGGATTTTCTGGTAGACATTATGCAGTGCAGAGAAGCAGGAGCAAATTACTGAGGACTTAAAACTGTTGGAAAGAATATTTAGCATAAGTTATATAAACTGCTATTTACAGACCATTAGAGCTATCACATAGAGGATATAAATGGTATTAATTACTCAGACCATTAGGGCTATCACTTATGAGGATAGACATGGTTAACTATTCATACCTTAGAGCTATAACTTAAGAGGGCAGACAGATTTTGAATTAACATATTATAAAGCGCTAGCATTAGAGGAAAGACATTAAGATGGGCTAGGCCTCGGAAGACATCACTTCAGGCTTTAAACCATTAGAGCGATGACTTAGAGGATAGGCATGATTAACTATTCAGACCTTAGAGCTATCACTTAGACCCTCTAAGTGATAGCTCTAATTAAGGTTTTGAATTGACTTATAATGTGCTATCACTAGTAAGTAAAACATTGTGCTGTACTGGGATTTAGAATAAAAATAAATAATGGTATAATTTCTATTACAAAGGGGACTAATATTATGAGTACAACATAATGAAAAAGTTGTTACAAAATTACAGATGTAAAAATATCAGAAAGTCTCATGGGGGTTCGTTGAAAAGAAGTCCAAAATTGTCAACCCCACATGATCACTGGGCATCAAGATAGCAAATTATATTCCAACATACCAAACATCTAAAAGGGGCAGCAGGTCCCGAAATTATATACCCTGAGATTGCAACTAAACTTTTCATTATTTTATCAGAAAATTCTGATTTGGGAAGGAATTAAGTGCTATTAGTAAACTTAACTTATGGTTTTATTAAGGTTATGTAAAACTTTGAGGATCCTTAAAAATTGGCATAACAAGTAAGAAATAATAACTGAATTCTGGGACGAAACTACCCTGTTGCTCAAGGTGACAGTCACTTTACTAGTCCTTAAAATTGTAATTCTCAAAGAAATTATGACATTTATAAATACATTTTATTATATAATATGACATGCCCCTTTTTTGGGGGAACGCCTATGTTTCGCAGTGGACTTTTATAGGCTGCAACGCATTGCTGCATAATATAACATGAAAGTTTGAATATCAAGAGGTTACAGTTTTAAATAGTTTTAAAAGATTATACATTTTAATCTAACAGTTTAGAAAAATCTGAAAGATCTTATTTCAATTATATCCTCTTGGGATTTATTTGGCTTCATACGGAGCTTATGAAGCCAATTTTGGCATGTCTGCAAAACAAAAATAATATTTTCCACCATCAGATGGAATCACAATAATTTTCTTAAATTATTAAAAGATTAACATAAAGACAACAGATAACCTGTAAATTTTTTATGACCTTAGTTTTATTGTAAATTTAAAAAATTAACAAATTGTAATTAAAAAACTCAGTAACAGAACGTAAACACCGAATTATTATTATTGATGTAATAAAACTATTTAAAAAAAATCATTGAAGTCAAAAAATTAGCCTATGGAGCAATTTTCTACTGTTAGGCACATTCTAGCCATACCATGATTAATAAATTAAATTTAAACAAAGGAACATTGTTGCATCCGAGCTGTATTATGTAGCTTAGTATAACCTAAGTTACAAGAAAGAAATCAGTTTTTAGCATTATTAGGTTCTAAATATAATAATGAAGTGCAAAATACATCAATAATAA